AGAAATAATCGCGATATTCGCTTTATTATCGATTTTAATTCGTTTTAATTATATATCTATTAATTTTAATTATATATCTTAGATTTCTAAATTTAATAAGTAGTATATATTATATTTTAATATATATATTATTATTTATAATAGTATATATTTTTATTAATTAAGAAATAATTACGATATTCGATTTATTAATTATATATTTATTAATTTTAATTATATATTTATTATTTAAAGTTTACTAAGTAATATATATTATATTTTAATATATATATTATTATCTATAATAATATATATCTTAACTCTCTATAAAATATATATTTATATAAAATATAAATTTAAAAATTACTAAATTTAAATTTTATAATCTTTATATTTAAATAAAAATAAAACTTTATTACTAAATATTTATTTAAATTTATTTAAATTAAATATTCTTAATTAATTAAAGTTCTTTTTATTTTAGCGCGAAATTTACTAAATTAATAAATAAAGTAAGTAAGTTATATTGCAAGAGAGGGGGGCCCCTATAATGGGTTGTCTGGCCAAAGTTGTTGATGTTGCAAATATCACCGAGACTAAATATCACAAGCACACAAGTACGCATGTTAGAATGCTGGTCGCAGACTCATCTGATGTGCAGGAGATAGTAGGAGCCGTCACATTATGGAGGGACCATTCAGGCAAGGCTGATCCGACCTGAACATTTTGGCACTTTATTCTCATAATGTCGTAGTGGTGCAACGGTCGAAGAGTGCGAATTATCATTTCAGTCTCAAACTTCATCAAATGATTTCCTGATTCTGAATTCCAAAATGGAATAAACAACATAGCCTTCCATGACTGTTATACTGGAGTACCTCGCCTGCGTATCTGGATCACACTCGCGATCGTTACTCCCTCCAGTTGCCTAGAGTCTAGAGCTGGCGGGGCTTGATAAGTGAAGGGCACAAAAATCGTGATCAATGAAGGCAGTCATTGTTGCAAGACGATAGGGCTTGACACCGGGCCCACGTGGACCTGTATCTCCCACGTGATACAGTGAAGTGGCTTTTGTGATTTCACGGAGGACTTGTCATTCCTCAAGGGCCGTAGGGGCCCGTCTGACTATATACCTTTCCGGAGGTCGTACATTGTGTACGACGCCCCCCTGAGTCAACAGACGGTCGTTGGCCGTCATTACATCCCTTGGCACCGCCAAATGGCTTAATAATCACACTTTTATCACCAAGTCCTTCCTGCTACGTTGGCTTCGGCCCTCTTTTTGAGGTCGGTCTCGACTCACGGGTCCTGTGGACGACCATATAATCTGGGGAGGACTGGGGAATGATCGCCGGTCATGCGGAGAAGACTAGGTAATGATCACCGTCCCTGTCGTAATGGCATACAATTGCGGTGCCTTCTATGGAGCAGCAGTGAGGATCTTCCCAACCGTGGCTGGAAAAGTATAAAGTTGTTGTGTCTTGCCAATAGTCTCAATCATGGGCTTCTTTGCTAGCAACCACGGTCAGCAGACAGCACCTGCGCAGAGGCTCACCGCGTATAACATTATCATTCTCCAGCTGCTTGCGCCTGGATCAATCGCATATGGCTGCTCTGCGGCCATCACCGCCACCACTCTAGGTATTGATAGCCCTTAACTCAAAAGGTTAAAATTAACCAACAAAACAGGCCAGCCTTCCATCGAATATTTCAGCCTTGCCACTCGGCCCTAAACAACGTCCTTTATCGGTGCTACTAGTGGTTTTTTCGCTGGTGGGACCGTAGGACCATTCTTGCTGACAGCCATTACGGATTGGTGGGGCAGGAAATGAGGTATCACTCTCGTAAGATGATGCACCATTCGGAGGGATTGTGAACGTCACGGTCGCTAATATCCCCCCTCAGCCATATGTCGGGAACGCTGAACGTGATTGCCGGAGCGTTCGTGGCCGGTAGCACTAACATGCGCGAGCTCATCTTCTTTCGCTTCGCTCTTGGTGCCAGTACCATCATAATTCTGGGCGCAATCCCTGTACGTTTTTCGTCCTGCAATACACGAAAAGTGGGTCCGGGCTGACGTTCTCAAGCTCTATATGAACGAGCTAGCGCCTAGCCGTATGCGAGGTGATCTGGTCGAGTTGCATGCTGTGTTCCTCCATACTTGGCTTCGTCATAGCCTCTTTTGGATGTCCTTCTGGACCAGTGGTGGTCTGAAGGCGTGGTAGGTTCCTCTAGCCATGCAGGCGTTCTTCTCACTGACATGCCTCATCTGTCTGGTTTTCATTGCAGAGAGCCCGCGATGGCTCGTGATGAAAGACTGCCATGATGAGACTCAGAATACTCTGCGAAAGCTTCATGGTAGTGAGGACCGAGCCACAGACACCTAGGCCTGTGCCGAATTTCATCAGATCTAAACAAATACAAGTGGACAAGACTGTTGGCAACTCTTGGCCGCATCTCATGAAGAGGCCATCCTACAGGATGATTTTGACATGAAAGGGTGTGCCTATACGAGTGCAACTTTAAGGAACGTGTCTTGATATATACTTCTCCGACCCTTTAAGTCTTTCACAGCCTACTCTTTTCGTTTCCCACCAATTCCACCACGATTTTACTCTATGCCGTGCCCGTACTCAGTATTTTCAGTGCATCTGCCACTGACTCTAATCCAGAGAAAGTCTATTCTATGTATACGATACTCTTGATCCCATCCCTATCAATCACTTTAAGTAGTATATCTTAAATCTACACCATAGCTTATAGATCCTAATTAGTATACTCGCCCCAAAAAAGACCGCTAACGGACATATTTTTCAATAGTATTCGGTTCGTGGCAATCTTTTCAATCTCCCCAGCGGCGAAGCCGATGACCATAAGCCGTCCGTTCTATCGAATACACTTTAAGCTTTGATTGATTAGATCTAGCGGGTCAAGCACTACGTCCACTCCACGACTTTCTGGTATGCATTTCTTGACGGCCGTTGGCCAGTCGTCGTTCGAATCGACGACATAGTCCGCACCAAGTTTGCGTGCGATTGCCCTTAGTTCGGTCGGACAAAGTATCGTACTGAAAACTTCTCATCCCACCGTTGGCAAGCTACCGGATTCGCTCTTACAACCCTACTAGAGAGCAAGGCTTACTTTTAGAAGCTAAGTTCTAGCTCAGCGGAGCCGCAGAGCCACATATCCATGGATGGGCTGTCGGCCAGGGATCTCAACGGATTCGAACTCAATGGCAGGCGCGGGCCCGGGCCGCTCCAGATTCAGAAACATGAATGACCGCGAGTTTGGTTGGTCTTCATCAGATTTCGGCTGGCAGCATCCACATCAGAGTCTGAAAGTATAGATTGGTCCGCGATTATTTTCCTGCCGTGAGGGTTGTTTCAACACGACTTACGAACCCCGACGTCTATCCTATGGAGCTTTACTGGTAAGTATAACGCTATCTGGCAAGTCGGGGTGGTCGATCCAGTTCTTGGTAAATACTTGTTTGTTCAGGCCTGTTCCTTGTTATGGTGACAACTCTCGAGACATTCAAAGCAGTCCACGCTGTAGCAGCAGGCGCGTGGGAAATACTTTTCTGGCTATCTCGGATAGACTTCGCACGAATAGCGGGCGGTGTACACAGAAGTTCGGAAAGGGTGCAAGCCTTATACATTCTTCGTGGTCGATGGTAGGCGATTGTACCGTTCCACCTGTCAAGAAATCTTTCACAAGCAGTTATTTAGAAATTTATCATGCTATTGCTGGTGCGCCATCAAACTGCTGCTTGCTCTCTAACCTATCCTGTTCCCTGGTTGTCCCAATTCGATGGTCGGCTCACTCAGCCAGTTACAAGCGACCGGCAAGGATATTTCCGCGCAGTCGGTAGGGTTAGGGTTAGGGTTAGGGTTAGGGTTAGGGTTAGGGTTAGGGTTAGGGTTAGGGTTAGGGTTAGGGTTAGGGTTAGGGTTAGGGTTAGGG